CAGCAGGCACTGCAAGAGGTTGGGGTTGGTGTATAACTGTTTCAGCCAGTTGTTGCTGCTCACTATTTTCCTGTGCTCTAGTCTGCACCATGGGCTGAAGTTCCACAGCAATGTCCTTGCTCCAGTGTTGGTCACCCGTGAGCTGCACCCCCTCTGGAGTGTCACTGCCCTGGCATGGATTGCCAGTAGTTGCAGTCCCTCAGAGGTCCTTCCTCTGGCATGGAGTAACTCCTCCCAAGAGTGTGCCTTCAGCTGTGGTCTCAATAACACCTCCTTCCACATGTCTCCTCTGTTTAGTTTCTCCAAACATATCTCACATTTCTGTCACCCTTTCTTAATTACATTTGAGCAGAGATCCCATATGCTCCTCTGACTGTCTGAGGATCTGGCGTACAATGAGTGCATTCATTACGGGGCCAGCTGCAACTGTCTGTGGTGGCTGAGGACAGTTCATGTCCTCCTCTCACAAAGACCACCCCCAGTACCAAAATGGTGCTATTGTCCAATACAGGCTACTGGGCCCATGCACAGAGGGTGTGGGGGACAGTGCCTGCTGAGGCTGGTCATGCTGTCAGGGTCTTAACACTGACTGTTTTCAGTCCTGGAACTTCACTGGCTAATATTTTCTATATATTTATTACCTCTCATTGCATTTCTCTTCCATGGTTTTGTCCAGACCCCCTTTAAAACTATGTAAAATTTTATCATCTCCAGCATCCTTTGACCATGAGGTCCATCATTCAGCTACTTGTTGTAATCTACCTCTGTGGAGTTTTTTAACTGGTTTCTACTAACTTGCTTTAATACTCTTAAGTTTCTGTGTCAGAAGAGATACTGAACAGTCAGTCTCTGTCATTGTCTCCATATCACCCAGGACTTCAGAAACCACTGCTCTTGAGAACATCATCCCTCTTCTAGAGGTCTGGCTGCTGGGCTTAGGCACATCTGAAGCAACTGCCCAGCCTTGAATCAGAGTGCTGTTTGTGATAGAGCTGTGATATGCCTCCATGGGGTTTGACATCCCCCTCACTTGAGAGAAGAATTTAAACTGAGTCTCTTGATTGTAGTCTTTGCTACCTTGCATGTCTGGATTTGGTTATGAACCTCACCAAGATGGATCCGGTAACACACCACTGAAAGTGTTTGTTTTGGACATTAGTAAGAAACTGATTAAAATGAAATTTATTGGAGATAACATGAGAGGGGAAAAGGAGATATCATAGATAATTTCATGTCCCTTCAGATGGTGGGAACTCCAAGCTGTGCAGCATTGGCTGGATCTTTATTCAGGGCACAGCACACTGCATATCCCATGCATGAAGAGGTTCACTGGTGGTGTGACCTTTACAACTTTTATAGGTATGTTCTTAGAAGTAAAACTGTTTAGCATTTTTACTGCCAAATAGAAGTATATTTATATAGAAACATTCTGCTTCACTTCAAGATAAAGACAAAGCTGTACCAGCAGCATCATCACCAGGTGCCAGTTCAGGACCATCTACAAGCTCCTCCATTATGATTAGCAGGCAAAGTTTATCCCTCAGCCATGTGATATATTCAGCACAGTATAGGCCTGGAGGCCAAGCAATATGTGCAGCATAACATAGCACAGCACACGCCTGTGCCTGATCAGGTCAATTTTTATGTGGGTCATTAACTCTTTGATATACAACAGTCTTCACGCTAAGACCATTGCAGACCCTGACATGTGGACATAACCTCCAGGCTTGATATTTGACCTACCTCATTGCTACAGACTTGTTTGAGCATCACTGGTTTGTAGCAGTAGTGTTAGGAACTATAGCATTGAACACCTTATCAGGGAGGCCCCTGCCCTGCTGGCCTTGCTGTTATCTGATGTCCAGGGTCCCCTTCCCTTGCTGAGCAACCTCACCCTTGCCATCCTTGACATTCCTCTCTCCCTTTTCCAGATTGAAGAATCTTAGCTCACTAGCCACAGGAAACAGAAAACTGAACCACTGCTCTGTGTCAAAGCCTTCCCAACAGATACGAAGTTTGGGGTTTATCCAGCATGCTGTGCTTTCTCAAATATCATTTGGGAGCCCAGGACAGCTTTTCTCCTGGAGTCCAGGAGGTTGTCTGAGCGCTTGTCCTCTGGTGATTATGATTAGAGCATACAGCCTGCAAAGTCTTGTGCCTTCAGCCTTGGATTTGGTTTGCATAGGAGGAGGTGGCTTTTTCTTGCAAGTGAAATGTACAGAGAACTGTGGAATGGTCTCAGACAATTATATTCCCCAAAGGGCAGAGAATATATTTGAGCTCCAACTCTTCCCAAATGATATGAGAAGGAAAGGCACACTGAGACAGCAGAGCACTTCTAATGCTGTCCTATGCAGCATTAAAAAGAATGTGATTGCATGTGACTGTTTCTATTCCACAGACCCTAGCAGTACTGTGTATCTCAAACAACACAGCACGTAGTGAAAATAGAGTGTAGCGTATGGACAGATGGCAATTTATTGACATACCAACTTCGATCATGCTGCCAGGGAACAAAAAACGATTATCAGACAATCCCCAGATTTCACAGGAACTGGAATTCGTGTTTTTAAACTCTTGCTGGACTTCAGAGCTCAGAAGGAGCAGTCAGTGTTTGATCCCTTCATGGCTGTTACCACCCTGCATGCTGCTCTTCAGAGAATTCCTTCCCACAGGGGCTGCAGCAGCCACATTCAGCATGGAAGCACCTATACAGCAGGTCCTGCTGGCCCAGACCAGCTGTGCACAGACACAGTTCTGAGCCCAGATGTTGATATGGAGATACAGATTTTATTCAACTTTGCTGAATCTGCACTTTTATCTCTCATTTTATCCTCTATGGAGGACGTTTTCTCCTTCATAACCAACAGAGATCTATCTCTTCTACAGTATTTGACTGTGATATTTTTTCATTCAGGACACAGATGTCTTAAAATACCTCTGGACTTTAACCAAATAATATTTCTGTCTTTTTCTTAAAAAATTACAGGCTTCCAAGCACAGTGCCACTGGTCTACATTTTCAGTATATTGATGCAAATCATCTGCTAGCACAAAAATTAAATTAAGAACAAAATTGGCACCTACATTAAGCTCCCAAACCAAGTTTTCAACAGATGTCTTTCAGAAGACTGATAGACGTCACTTCATATCCCTAGTGACACCTAATGGCCAAATTCAAACAAGTCAAATAGTTCTGTTTCATAGTGAGGAAATGAGGTGGGCTCTGTGCCTCGAAAACCTCTCTTGTGTGTAGTTCTAGGAAAAACCATTTCAGTCTTGATTTTCTCTATTTCTTTGTTTTAAAGTAATCATCAAGCAAAAGAACAATTAAACAAGAGAATAGCTCTTTTTTTTTCTTTATGTTAGGTAATAAATACTTCCTTAATAAATGTTGATAGTTTTAGTCATTGTACTTAGAAAATGCAGAGCGACAGCTTATTTTTAGTTTTATAAATGTTAATTGTAAATTGTATAATTATTTTAATTATAATTGTTAACTAATTATAATTATTCAAAAATTAAGAATTAAATAAAAATTAATTAAATTTAAATTTAATCATTAAAACTAACGCTTAAATTTAATTATTAAAAATTAATACTTGAATAACGATTAATAATTAAATGTTAACTAATTATAATTATTAAAAATAATTATAATTGTTAACTAATAACAGTTTTATAATTGTTTAAGAACCTTACATACTTGCTTCTTAGGACAATATTTTACAAATCCTGCCTTTGTTTTTTGGTTTTTTTTAGTTGCAGCAAAATCTGTTGACTGCTTTTGGCTATAAGGGAAGCAAAACGTAATGTACACAGTAAACCTTGAAATGTCATATCTCTTGAAATACTTTCTTGCTTGAACACTTGTGTTAACTGTAGCTAAGCCTTTATGACTGTCTTGGGATGATCAGTACTTACAGTTCTCCCATAGACTTCATAGGAGCCATGAAAATGTGTTTCCCTGCTGACATTGCAAATGGTTGAGGCAGCTCCAAATACCTCCATGTGTCTCCTTTTTTAAGCACTTTTAAAGTACTGATACTGTAATTGACAGTTCTGCATGTGCATTCCAGCAGAATGAAGATTGCTTAATTCAGCAATTAACACTAATAAACTTTTGGAAGACTTTATAATCTTTTTAATTGGATAAACTGTAACTTAAAGAACCTTTCCTCTAAAGACTCTGAAATAGGAAATAACATCTCTAGAGAATTATTACATCAAGAGGCAATAAAAAAGATTTCCACATATGATTCATATGGGTATTAGAGAGCCAAAGCAGTCCATCTTTTAAGACAAACACTCTTCTCATGTTTTTGAAATTATATCCCTTAGGCATCATCTTGATATATTTACTGAAGGCACTTAGACTATGTGGAGATATAATAGCAAATTCAAAAAATTTAGTTATTTGATATGCCATGTGGAGATAAGCTCAAGGTAAGGAGCTGTAGCATTTACCTTGCTTAAGCTCAGAAATTTAAAAGAAAAAAAATTCTTAAGCTGTTTAGTGACTTCATATATGGGTACATTCTGGTTTTAAAAATAGGATCTAAATCCTAATCTAAACCACTTCTGTCAATAATCACTACCCACTATATCACATGTTTCAGGTTGCACGGTACAGTAACCCAGAATAGGTAATGGCATGTTTAGTTTGCAATGCTTTTATTAGAATAAATAGAAGGACCAACAATTAACACTCACAAAATCAACGATACATCACTGGAAAGAAGGCGGGAAATTATATCAGTCAGGAAGATGTTGTATTTGGAGATGATGATTTATGAAATAAAGGTAGACTTTCTGTATGCTCCTCAGAACAAGAGGGCAGCCTTATAGTACATGCAGCACAAAGAAGCCCAAATGCATTCCTGGAAGAAGAATGCTTTGCTGAAGTTTAGAATTTCATCTGTAAATTGTCCAGGCACCAGTTCAAGGGTGGTTGCCCAGCAAATTCAAAAGAAAGCAACAGGATTATTCTGAAAACTGTGTTTATTTCACAGAACTCCTACAGAGAAGACAGAATCTCATTAATAGTGTCAGGATTTCTCACAAAAATCTAAACACTGGCCCTGTCTCTCAAGTTATTCAATGACAATGGGGATCCTAAGCTACGTCCCGAAATTCTCCTTCAATCCTGGCAATAAATCTTGAATACAAGCGTGTGAGCAGAAATACCTGCACCTAAAGATCCAAAAAGTCACACACTTCATCAAGAATATCTCCCTAGATATTGAAGGCTTTCCACTTAGAGAAAATAATGAAGAGATGAGATTAAACTACAATACTACAGTAAAGGGGGTCTGTTTCTGAGGGGAACACAAGCATTATTTCCAGCTCTTTCTTTCTTCAGGGGGAACAATATCTACCAAAGAAGAGGATGCTATTGGTTGGATTGTGTTTGATCAAGAAAAGGAATGGGTGGTCAGCCCTAAACTCTTCAAACTCAGAGGAATGTGGGATGTCTCCCATCACATCCACTGAGCCAGACATCTCAGTGCCCTCTTCACTGACTTCCATGTATGCCTCATGGATGGCCTCAGATATCTTCATGCTCTCTGCTGAAGAGATGCCAGATAGATTGGCTGAAGGGCTGAACAGGTCAGTCAAACCCAAGGCCACTAGGACAGATGTGAGGTTATATTTTCCCTCAATCTTCATGCGTGGGAGGTACACTTTCACTCTCTTTGTTTCCATCACATTGGGACTGGTCCACTCCATGAGTTTTTCAAAGCTGATTTTGTCCTCAAGCTGCAAAGAGAGGCAGGGAATGAAATGTCTGAGACAAGAGTGTAATGGCCTTAACATCTGTCTTCATACCACTTTTTACTATTTTTTTTCCATTTACTTTGTGTAGACAATAGAACTGATACTTAATCTTAAATGTATTTGTTTATCTTACATACTTTGTTTCTGACTACGGCCTATATCTCATTTATCTTGATGAAGTTGTCTAGAACTTTGGCATCTGAAAATTTATTCATCAGATCAAGGCTTTATTGGTGAAAATGTAGTTATTGAAAACTTCAAATCAAATTGGCCCCAAAACTGTTCTTCCTAGAATATGTTTTAATCATCTCTTCCCTCATCTTAGTTCCTTTCTAATGCTAATTTTCCCATTTTCCTTTTAGTCAGCTCCTGGAATGCTTTCCTCATCACTTCTGCTTTTTATTTCCCCTTGGATAAACTCTTGTTTAACAAACCATTTAGTACTCCCCTGGACGACTGAAATCACTTCAAATGACAAAAAATGCTGCTAGCATATCTGTTTCTGGTACCTGAGGGATATTGGTGTATATAGAAATATCTTATTCTGCAGAGCTATAGCAGCACTACCCTACTTTACCTTTGTTTTATTGGACCGAGTACAGGGCTCTCCTAAGAAACCAGTCCCTGCCTGAGCACCTCATAGCCCCTGGGGGGCTTTTGTGCTCCCCTGGACAGCAAAAGGTCTGTCGGCAGCCACGTCCCACTGAAGTGGTAACTCTTCTGCTTCCCCTGCCAGGGCCATACCTGCTCCAGGCCAGAGACATCATCAGGCAGCAGCACCAACATGCTCAGCTTCCCGCTGGCATACGGAAGCTCCAGGATCTTCATTTTCTCTGCAGCCACCACTGCCACTTTGAAGGTACTGTTCTGACACATCATTTGCACAGGTCTGCTTTCTTCCTGCAAAAACAGAAATGTGAGATGATGTGACTGGGGAGCAATTTTTATTAAGCAGGCAAATGTAAAAGGTCTTTGAAAGGGATGGGACTCAATTTCCAGGCATATTGCTTTTGGAGGTGTGTCTCTTGCCTGCTTGTGTGCCCTGAAAGCCTGGGCAGACACAGCTCTTGCAAACACTACTTGACCTTAGGTTCGGGTGTTGACAGTGAGGGAACCGTCTAAATGCCCGACCTGTGACAGCAACAAGTTGTATGTGTAACACCCAGCTTGCTGGCTCTGCAAGCCAACGGCTGTCCTGGCTACAAGCTGTGTCTGTGCTCTCCTACCTCTGTCACATTGAAGGGCACCTCCCGAGTATGTTCTTCTTTAAATGCTGTCTTCCATACCCCTTTGAAGTAAATGGCATTCACAAGGACCAGTGCAGTATCAAGATCAATGGAGCCTGGTTCAAGGAAATCTTGGATCTGTCCTTTAAGGAAGAATCAGGGCAGAGTGGTAAGATACAAGTCCTCTGGTGCGCACAAATGCCTGCACTGAGGGGCATGGAGATGGGGGGGGGGG